GATGATTCAGCGATAGAAGTCTCTCTCTCTCTCGTTCTCTCGCTCTCTCTGCTTTTCAATAAACACACCCACAGAAGTCTCTCTGGGCACCCTGTTAACTTTCTTCCCAGCATGCATTCCGGCTGTGATCAATCATTGTCTGTGTCCTCATTAGCAGGAAAGCAACACTGGAGTAGGGCCGCCAGTGTCTTTGCCACAATGTGGCTTTCTCCCTCTTCAGGAACTATTTTGCTGTCTGTCTTCAGTGGAGTACCCAGAGCCTGTGTGTCCAGGCAGGCGAATTTTCACAAAGGAACGCGTCTCTGGGACCATCACCGGAGCAGGGATGGAGCAGGCCCACGTAAGGTGCTGTTGTTTAGTGGGTACAGAGTTTCGGGGGAGTAGTTGAATTTTTGAAGGAAGAATTGGGGGTGGGCTTTGAAGCCGCAAGGACCCTCAATTGGACAAGTCGCCTCACTTGTCAGACTGCCCACTCGTGAACATTGTAAAAGGAAGCAAAACAAGCAATGCAGGGGAGGGGGCAGGTGCTGCGGGGCAATGAACAGATGAAGCCACCACTTGGAAACCTGCACCCCACAGCAGGTGTCGGTCCTGGGTACCCCGTGCTTCTGATCCAGCTTCCTGGTAACGCGGGCAGTGATGACGGCTCAAGTGCGTCGGTCCCTGCCACTCACACAGGGGACTCGGATGGCGTCCCTGGCTCTTGGCTCCTGGCTTCAGCGTAGCCAATGTGGGCATTTAGGAAGTGAGCCAGCAGATGGGAGATTTCTCTCTTTCTTTGCCTTTCAAATAAATTGATTTTTTTTTATTTTTGGCAGGCAGAGTGGACAGAGAGAGAGAGACAGAGAGAAAGGTCTTCCTTTTGCCGTTGGTTCACCCTCCAATGGCCGCCGCGGCCGGCGTGCTGCAGCCAGCGCATCGCGCTGATCCGAAGCCAGGAGCCAGGTGCTTCTCCTGGTCTCCCATGGGGTGCAGGGCCCAAGCACTCGGGCCATCGTCCACTGCACTCCCTGGCCACAGCAGAGAGCTGGCCTGGAAGAGGGGCAACCGGGACAGAATCCGGCCTCCCTACCAGGACTAGAACCCAGTGTGCCGGCGCCGCAAGGCGGAATAATTACCCAAGAGAGGCCGGGGCGCCGGCTCTCAATATCTTTTTTGTCACAAGTAGTAGTGATTTGAGAGGATTCTAACCGCTGCCATCCACAAGGGATGGTGTCTCTTTTTCCAGCAACTGATCCTCATGATTCTAAGGGGCTTGTTGAAGACACACGAGGGTTCTTTAGCCCAGCAAATGCCATTTTTGGAGATCAAAAAAGGCCAGATGGCACTAGTCATCTGAATCTCGACAAAATAAACATTGCTCGTTGATTTTGTGAGTGGGGTAGGAGCAGGGGAGGTCTCAGCGCAGTAATGGAGATTATCAAATTCGGGGCCTGTGTGACAGTATCCAGCCCGTTTATTTTCGATCATCATTGGATGCCCCAACCCTAGCGCTGTCAAGATCAGTACTTAGGGCGGCAAAAATATCGCACTGCAGGGGCCTCAACAACGGTCAGTTCCTTTGTGGGTGATCGGGAGTGCAGTGGAGGATGGCCCAAGTGCTTGGGCCCTGCACCCCATGGGAGACCAGGAGAAGCACCTGGCTCCTGCCATCGGATCAGCGCGGTGCGCTGGCCGCAGCATGCTGGCCATGGCGGCCATTGGAGGGTGAACCAACAGCAAAGGAAGACCTTTCTCTCTGTCTCTCTCTCACACTGTCCACTCTGCCTGTCAAAAAAAAAAAAAAAAAAAAGGCTATGGTGACGGCTGATGGTGATATTGCACATCCCCGCGCACGTCTTTCATGCTACTGAGCTGCACGCTGACAAGTGGCTAAGATGGCAAATTTTATGCTACATGTATTTTACTACAAAAATTAATTTTTCTTTAAAAAATTATAAAACCATACCCAGACCCTTAGAATCCCCCATGTGTCCTCAAAGCCAAACACTATCTTGATTAGTTTTTTAAAAAAAGATTTATTGAGTCTGGTTCTGTGATCATAGTGGGTAAGCTCACACCTGTGGTGCTGGTGTCCCTTATAGACGCAGGTTCGAGTCCCGGCTGCTCCACTTCCGATCCAGCTCTCTGCTGTGGCCTGGGAAAGCAGTGGAGGATGGCCCAAGTCCGTGGCCCCTGCACCCATGTGGGAGACCTGGAGGAGGCTCCTGGCTTTGGACCAGCCCAGCTCTGGACGTCGCAGCCATTTGGGGGAGTGGACCAGCAAATGGAGGATCTTGCTCTATCTCTTCCTCTCTCTGAAACTGTGCCTAAAGATAGATTTGTTTGTTTGTTTGTTTGTTTGTTTAAAAGGTAAGAGGTGCAGAGAGGGAGAGACATGGAAAGAGAAAGAGATCTCCCATCTGCTGGTTCACTCCCCATGTGGCTGCAGCAGTTGGGCTGAGTTAGTCCAAAGCCAGGAGTCTGGAACTCCATGCAGGTCCCCCGGAGGGTCACTGGGATCCAAGCACTTCGGCCAAATTTCACTGCTTTCCCAGGTGCGTTAGCAGGGCCCTGGATGGGAAGCAGAGCAGCCGGTACTCTAACCACCACCCATAGGGATGCCCCCGTGTGGCGGCTTAACTCACTGTGCCATGCTCCAGCCCCCTGACTAGTTTCGCTAGCTTTGAACTTTATGTAAACAGAACCATACAGTATTGGGGTCAGCAGAATTGTGACCACCAAAGACGCCCACAGCCTAATCCTCAAAGGTCTCCGAATGTCCTTATGACACAAAGGCCTTTGCAGGCGCGATTAAATGGAAGACCTTGAGAAAGAGACATCACCCTGGCTTCTTCGTGGGCCCAGCTGGATCACAAAGGCCCTTACAGGGAGGCAGAAGGGGTTGAAGCAACGGGATGAGAGGAGGGCTCACACCCCACCCCCCACCCCCCGCTGCGGACTTGGCAGATGGAGGAAGGGACCACAAGCTGGGAATGTGGGCAGCCTTTAGAAGGCAGAGAATATTCCAGAACACTTTCTCCCCAGGTGCCTCCAGAAGGGACGCAGCCCTGCCACCACACAGATCTTAGCCAGCAGAGTACGCATCAGACTTCCGACCTGTGGAACTGTGAGATAAACCTAGGCCGCTTCAAGCCTCTACATGGTGGGTCATTTATGACAGAAGTGACAGCAAACACGTACCAGCAGTCTACACTCTCTGGCATCTTTGGCTCACCATCTTACTTGTACCTGTGTGGGCTGTTTTGAATAATGCCACTGTGAACATTTCTGCACCTGCCTTTTATTGTTGTTGTTTTTTTTTTTTTTTCAAGATTTATTTATTTATTTTTTTGAAAGTTAGAGAAAGAGTGGGGGAGAGAGAGAGAGGTCTTCCAACCACTGGTTCACTCCCCAGATGGCCTCAATGGCCAGCACTGGGCCATGCTGAAGCCAGGACCCAGGAGCTCCATCCAGGTCTCCCACGTGGGTAGCAGGGGACCAGGCACTAGGGCCATATTTCACTGCTTTTCCCAGGCCTTAGCAGGAAGCTGGATCGGAAGTGGAGCAGCCGGGATAGGAACCAGTGCCCATATGGGATGCCGGCATCACAGGCAGCGGCTTTACCTGCCACTCCACAGCCGGCCCCTTGTACCTACGTTTGGTTCACATGTGTACGTACCTCTGCTGCGTGTACATGGGCACAGGACGGCTGGGTTAGAGGACGTGCATAGATAGTGGGTGCTGCGATGCGTGCCTCAGGTGGGTGGACCCCCCCCCACGCTGCTGGGGGCCGCTGGCTGACGGTCCTCAGCTGCTAGGGGCTCTCTGAGAGAGCTCAGCTGAGGTCACAGGTGGTCCCAGAGCAGAATGCACCAGGTGACTGTCGCAGGGAGGGGATAAAAGGTCCCCACGCCCACTGCCCCTTGGAGCAGCTTTGAAGGGTCACCCCAGACTCGGAGCTCTCTCGGGGTCAGGGGAGTGCACACCCAATGCTGCTTTTCCCTCTGCCCAGCCCCCTTCCTTCCCCGCCAGGGCTCCCAATCAACTTGCCCCTGCTAACGTCCATCTGAGGATCCACTACCCAGTGGTGCAGCCTGCAGCAGCCGTGCACGGCTTCTGTGGGTGTTGCAAAGTTTCCCCAGAGTGGCTGCCCCATGTCTACTCCCCCAGCAGTGCTGAAACGCTAGCTGTTTTCTTTCTTAAAGGGCACTCCAGTGGGTGGGTGATAATACCTCATTGTAGTTTAATTTGCATTTCCCTGAGGTCTCCTGCTTTTTGGGTTATTTGGGTAGTCTCTTCTGTGAATTGTCTGATCAAGTCTTTCACCCACTTTTCTACCGGGCTGTGTGCCTTTCTCCTGGGGATTTGCTGGTCTTTATATGTCGGATGCAAGTCCTTAGTTGGATATCTTGCAACACGCATTCAGAGTGGGGTCCACTCAGTGTCTCCACAGTACCAACACAAGATGCATCCCCATAAAAACGAATTACCTTCTGAAAACTCCATCCAGAAAGAATGCTGGGACAGGCGCTCTTAACGGATATAACAAGGCTCCCAAAGAGGAGCAGGAGACCCTTAAAGAGACAACCCCAGAACGCAGGCCTCGCACCCTCACCCTTCTCCACTCCTGCTCGGTGGCTTCCCCCCGCCACAGGCATTTATCTAAACACTTAAAATTAAAATACATTCATTCATTGAATGCCCCTGGAACATATCCATGAGCCCAGCCTGCTCGAGGCTTGAGGACCGGGCTGTGAGCAAGGGAGAGGTCCTTGCTTCCAGGCGATCGCAAAGGAGCGATAACTACAGGGAAACAGAATAATCTCAAAACGAGAGACGAGAGACGTAAGCCGAAGTCGGACGTGGAGGGACGCAGGACCTGCGGGTTGAGCCAGCAACTCCCGGGCCAGGGCTGGGGCGGGGGGGCGGCTCCGGCCCCGCCTCTGTATTTGCATCCGCCTCCCGATTGGCTGCCGGTGGCTGGCCCCACCCCCCGGCGCGAGCAGCTCGGGAAGCGGCCGGCCGGCCCCGCCAAGATGCAGCGGCGGCTCCGGGTGTCGCCGGGCGGGCTGGGGGCATCGCTGGCCCGAGCCGGGCAGGGGGCGCCCACCGCGGCACCCGCGCGCTCCTAGCGCCCCAGACCTGCCGGCGGGCCCGGGCGCTCCCTGCCGCAGCCCTGCCCGCCGTCCCCACCCCTCCACCCTTTGTGCCGCCGCCGCCACCCCGCGCCCGGGCTCCGCTGGACCCCCGGCGGGTCCGGCACAGAGCGGCGCCAGGCCCCGCGAGGGCGCCCGGCCCTCGGCCGATGGCGAGGGAGCGCGGCGCGGCCCGGGGCGCCGCAGCCCGAGTCCGCGCGGCGGGAGGCCCGGGCCGACTCTACCGCATTGTCCCGGGCCCCGCGCCCCGGCCCTGAGCCGCGCCGCCGCAACGCCCGCCCACCCGCCGCCGCGGGGCCATGCGGAGAGCCGCGGGGATGGAGGACTTCTCCGCAGAGGAGGAGCCCTGGTACGACCCGCAGGACCTGGAGCAGGGTGAGCGCGGGGACCCCTGCCGCCGCTCCATTGTTGGGCGGGATCGCCCCGGGAAGGGCTGGGCCGAACCCGGCGCGCCCGGCTCCGAGGAGGGTGCGTCGGGAGCATGGGGCGGTGGAGACCCGCGCCGGACCGGGGCGGGGGTGCACCTGCCCAAGTTGGGGGCTGGCGTCGTGTCTCCCGAGGAGACAGAGTGCCCATCACCCAGCTCGCCCACCTCTCCTTGGGGGCGGCAGCCGGCTGAGTGCCCTGGTCTTGCGTGCCGAGCCCCGCTTGGAGGTCTTGGGCGGCCGGAAGGTGGCTCCTTCCTTGCGTTTCGCTGGGAGGGTGGGGTGTGTGTGGAGGGGAAGTTGTCTCGCTCCACATCCAAGAGCTCTCATGCCTGCCAGGATTTCTGCGCTCTGAGACTCCCGGAAAGTTTCCCCAACTCGCTTCCCGTCTGCGCAGGGAGCCTAGGAGAAGCAGAGAGCAGTCTCCAGGCTGCCCTCCCAGGGAGGGGTCCTCTGGCCCGGCCCCGCCCGGCCCTGCTGCCCGGGAGCCCCCTCCCATGTGGCCCCCGGTGGAGCAGTCAGGTTTGGGAATTGGGAGATTAAAACCTCTGCCCCGCCCCCTCCCCATCGGAGGGCAGAGAGGATGACTGGAAGGGGGTTAGGAGCGACTGATGAGGTGGCCAAAGTGACATCACTGGGAGGAGGGGGTGGGGCTGTGGGACAGGAAGGAGGCTTGAGAGGGTCGGGCCAAGGCCTGCTGGGACTGGAGTCCCATCTCCAGGAGGCCAGAGCTGGAGGGGCCAGGAGACGCATCCTGGGAGAAGGGGCCGCAGCAGGCCTGGGGGTGTGGGCCACAAGGCTGGGGCATGGTGTCGCCGCGCCCTGGCTCCCTCCCGTGGGGCCCAGCTCCGGCTTTGCCTGACCCTGCAGCCTTTGTCTTCTGGCCTGACCCACTTCTGTGCTTGTGTCCTTGTGCTGGGGGCAGTGGGTTAACCAGTCTCCAGGGGCCAGCATGGCACTGGGGGTACTGAGCCCCAGCCTCAGTGCCCGTGTCTGAAGAGAGATGCCCCACCCTGGCTGTGATGACCCCCTCCCCCATCCCAGACACCATCCCAAACTTGTCCCATCCACAAGCACCTCTGGGGCTCCATGGGAGGGCCAGGCGCCGTCCTGGGATCTGGGATTAGTCACAGCTCTGACCCTCTGGGTGAACCTGGGCACGTGGAGGAGGCTAGCACGTAAATACATGTAGGTGGTACGGCATTAGGGGCAGTGGAAGCAGTGTGGAGGGCTTCCTGGAAGAGGTAGGCATAGCAGGAACAATCGGAAGCCGGCCCCATCTCATTTAATTCCTGCACCTCTAAAGAAGGAACCGGGGAGCAGGGTGGGTGTTGTGCAGCCCGATCCCAGCGGGCTGGGAGGCCCAGCTCTGAGGCTGTGTTGGGGTCGTTCCTGCAGGCCCCTACTTCTCTGGCCCTGCTGGTCTGTAGCAGTCAGCCCAGACCAGCAGCCCCAGTGGTAGACAACCCAGGAACGAGGAGGGAAACTGGAAATAAGACAGGTTCAGAAGAAAGCCAAAACTGGAGGGCTGCTTGCCGTGGGGCAGGTGCTCTGCTGAGCCCGGGGCCTGGGCTCACCCTCTGAGCACTTCACGCCCTGGAGACAGAAAGGGGCTCAGACTAACAGCCGGATCAGAGCGGGAAGGGTTGGCAGCCCCTCCGGGCCGGAAGGTTCATGCCAAGGGCTGGAGGGCAGAGAGCGGGTCCCCAGGCAGAGGTAGGCAGACAGGCAGGCATTCCGGGGGAGGGCTTGGAGCCGCATGGAAAGACGGGGAAGTAGGGGTAGAGGGCAGCTTCTGAGGCGCCAGCCCCCTTCTCTCTGGGGGCCAGGCATAGACAGTGGGATGGACAGGGCGGAGCATGGGCCAAAGGCCAGCCGCAGTGAGGGTCAGGTGTCTGTTTGTCCCAAAATTCTCTTCTACACAGCTGTTCCCTGGCTGCCCCCGAGTGGCCCAGGAAATGACTTTCCCAGCTGGCTCCTGGTCTCCCGTCCCGGGCTGTGTCCCCCTGCACTGAGGGGGGGCACTGACCTCACCTCCCAGAAGTGTGGCTGTGGAGATCCCAGCTGACCTTGATGCTGCCCCGTCCCCATGGGAGGAGGCGGATGGGACAGACGAGGTCCCAGACTCTCACCGTGTTCCCTCTGCACAAGCACCTGCAAAAATAGAAAAGGCCATTAATTATTAAGCACGGGGCTCTCTTCCTGCCCCTCTCCCTCCCCCACCCAGGGCCAGGCGTGGCAGGCCCTGTGGGCACCTCTTTCCAGGCCGAGAGCTGGCTGCTGAGTCACGGGTTTGCTGTCCTCGGCACCTGCCCTCTGCACCCTTGCCCAGGGTGACCTTGAGTCCCTCCCGCCTTGGGGCAGACATGGAGGGAAAGATGGCCGATGGCCTTCCTCCACCCTGGGGCCCAGGGGTAACTTGGCCTGGTTCTGTGGACCCGCTTTCTGGCGTACACCAACGGCCTCAGCCTGTGGGCCGTCGCAGGGACCACAGCCCAGACACCCCCTGAAGGAGGACTTGGATGTTGCCGAGGCTTTAGCACCATGGCCTTGAACTCTGGTTAAGTCGAGGGAGCTCTGTGCCAGCCACCCACGTGGAGCGTGTGCCCTGACACCCCCCACAGGAGGTGGAATCCATCCAAGTTCCCAGGGAGGGGAGCGTCCAGGAGGTGGCCCTGAGTTCTTTGGCCTTGCACCTGAATTCTTGGGTTCTGCCTGGGGGTGAGCAGCACCGTGGCTGTCGCATTCAGGGGTCAGAAGGAAGTCCCTGTGGCACTCTTGTCCTTGTCCTTGTCTTGCCAAGTTCCCGGGTAACTGCCAAGGCACCCAGGCCACAGCTGGTGTGTCACATTTACGCTTTTGCCCAAGCTACGGTTAATAAATTCCTAAAGCCGGCATCCTCATTGCCCTGGTAGGTGTATGATAGGTAGGTAGTTTATCTTGGCACCCTCTCAGGCGAGTTAATTGCCCAAGGCTGCAGGTTCTTGCTTGTGATCTCTCTCCCTTAGCTTGGGGTTCATGCGATGGCCACAGTAGGGGTTGGGAAAGCAACTTCTGTCTTCCCAGCCTGGGTGGAAGCAGCCTTGCTCTGGGACAGCAGCTCTGCCCCTCGGTCCACACCCCACCCCCCCTCCAGGTGACACCTGGGCATAGCACCCTCCTCCTGGCTCTGGCTACTTCAACACCTCTGGGCGTGGGAGCAGAGCCAGGTTTGTTCCCTGGCAGGCAGCGTGGCCGTTTGCCCAGGCCTGGTGGCTGGTCTGACGCTCTCAGCTTTCACCAGGTCCGTCCTGCCCCCAGCGGGGCTGAGAGCGAGCCCAAGGTTCTGTTCCCGGCTGCCCACCGAGAGGGCCTCTCTGCAGAGCTGACCTGGAGGAATGTGCCCAGCTCAGGGCGGCAGTGGGCTCGGCTGACACAGGTGTATCCAGGACACTGACCAGGAGGGCGTGGAGAGCCCACCCTTGCTCTAGGGGTGTTGGAGTATCCCTGGGTTTCTAAGGGGAATGCCTGAGAGAGCTTAAGGTCTGCGCCACACACATCATGCTGGCGCCCGCGGGGTTGCCTGTGTGCACGCTGGTTGGGATCTACACCATCAGCTGCTCAGGGGGGGTCTGCATTTAGGAGGTCTCCCAGGGAAACAAGCCGTGACTCCCACAAGGGTTTTCTACAGCCTCATTTCATTTTAAAGATTTATTTATTTCTGGGGCTGGCGCTGTGGCGTAGCAGGTTAACGCCCTGGCCTGAAGCACCGGCATCCCATATGGGCACCGGTTCGAGACCTGACCACTCCACTTCCAATCCAGCTCTCTGCTATGGCCTGGGCTAGCAGTAGAAGATGGCCCAAGTCCTTGGGCCCCTGCACCCACGTGGGAGACCCTGAAGAAGCTCCTGGCTCCTGGCTTCTGATCGGCACAGCTCCAGCCATTGCGGCCAATTGAGGAGTGAACCAGTACATGGAAGACCTCTCTCCCTTTCTCTGCCTCTCCTCTCTCTGTGTAACTCTGACCTTCAAATAAATAAATAAATCTTTTAAAAAAAAGATTTATTTATTTAAAGAGTTACAGAGAGAGAGAGAGAGAGAGATCTTCCACCTGCTGGTTCACTCCCCAAATGGCCCCAATGGCCAGGGCTGGGCCAGACCAAAGCCAGGAGCCAGGAGCTCCTCTGGGTCTCCCACGTGGCTGCAGGGGCCCAAGCACTTGGGCCTACAGTTTCATTTTAATAGAGGAAAAGTTGGAGATGCCTTCTAAAGGCCCCCAGTAAGCACTGTTTGGGGCAGGCGCTCAGAGGCCTGGGCTCAGTGGGAAGTCCTGCAGCCGCCACAGATGTCCCTTGGGTCCCTGTGACACAGAAAGCCACCCGGGCCGCATTTGTTATGGGCAGATGGTGAGGGCAGAGAACACGAAGCTGTTCACAGAAAATGTGGCCTTTCACTCAGGCACAGAGCTGACTGGGAGGACGGCCACCAGGATGCCGAGAGCACCTTTCTCGGTGGTCTCTCCTCTCTTCTTTCTTCCGCCTGATTCTCCCACGCCCCCCCCACACACACACACACAGTGTAGTTTCCATAACGCAGTGACAGTTTGCTTTAAAAACCATTTCAGGGGCCGGCGCTGAGGTACAGCGGGTAAGGCCACCGCCTGCAGTGCCGGCATCCCGTATGAGCAGCAGTTCGAGTCCCGGCTGCTCCACTTCTGATCCAGCTCTCTGCTATGGCCTGGGAAAGCAGTAGAAGGCGGCCCAAGGACCCTGCACCCACATGGGAGACCCATAGGAAGCTCCTGGCTCCTGGCTTCGGATTGGCTCAGCTCGGCCGTTGTGGCCATCTGGGGAGTGAACCAGCAGATGGAAGACCTCTCTCTCTGTCTCTGTCTCTCTCTCTGAAACCCTGCCTTTCAAATAAATTAAAAAAATAAAGCCATTTCAGGCCACGTTCATCTGTAGAATTCCCAGATAGAGATATAAGATTGCGTAGAGGGCATATTTTCAAGTCATTTCCCCTCTTTTTAAAAGATTATTTATGTATTTGAAAGGCAGAGTCACACAGAGAGAACTTCCACCTGCTGGGTCTCCTCCCGAATGGCTGAAATGGCCGGGGCTGGACCAGGTTAAAGCCAGGAGCCTGGAACTCCTGGGTCTCCCACATGGGTGGCAGGGGCCCAGGTACTTGGGCCATCTTCTGTTGCTTTCCCAGGTGCATTAGCAGGGAGCTGGCTGGAAGTGGCGCAGCCGGGACTCAGACCAGCACTCATGGGAGGCTGGCGTTGCAGGCGGTGGCTTAACCCACTATGCCACAACAGCAGACCCCGGGTAGGTAATTTACTTATGTATTTGAAAGGCAGAGTGACAAAGAGAGAGAGAGAGAGAGAGAGAGAGAGAGAGAGAGAGATGTCCCATCTACTGGTTCACTCCCCAAATGGCCACAACAGCTAGGACCAGGTGAGGCTGAAGCCAGGAGTCAGGGTGGCAGGAACTCAAGGACTTGAGCCGTCCTCCACTGCTTTCCCAGGTGCATTAGCGGGGAGCTGAATGGGAAGTGGAGCAGCCGGGACTTGAACCGGCGCCCATCTGGGATGCTGGCCTCACAGCCGGTGGTTGCCTTGTGCCACAACGCGGGCCCTGCGAGACAGCACAGGTTTGCAGGAGGAGAGCGAGCGACCCTGGGAGCCCCTGGGGACAGGGCGTGCAGGGCGGAAGCACAGCCATTCCAGGGCTGAGCTCCTGGCTCCCATTCACTGCCGGGCCCGGAGCTCCCGGAACGCAGCCCCTGGGTGTCTGCGTCCCTGACGCCCAGAACAGGCTGCGCGCTCAGAACGCTCACGGGAACCTCCGGTGTGTCCGCCCCTTGCTGCAGACCTGCACCTGGCCGCGGAGCTGGGGAAGACCCTGCTGGAGAGGAACAAGGAGCTGGAGGAGTCGCTGCAGCACATGTACTCCACCAACGAGGAGCAAGTGCAGGAGATCGAGGTGAGGCGCCCTGCCTTGGCCCCAGCAGGCTTCCTGCCACCTAGCGAAAGGCCCCCTCGCGGCCCCACAGCCTTGTGCAGTCCACCACTTGCACAACTGCCCCATCTTCCCCCCTACCCATGGACAGGAATACATCAAAGCACACCTGTCCTCGGGAGTGGTGGGAGGGACACACGCCCCTGCCCCACTCCAGAGGGTACTGAGACCCCACCCCCACTCCGCTAGTACCTGACCAAGCAGCTGGACACACTGAGACATGTGAATGAGCAGCACGCCAAAGTGTACGAGCAGCTGGACCTCACCGCCCGAGACCTGGAGCTGACCAACCAGAAGCTGGTGCTGGAGAGCAAGGCTGCCCAGCAGAAGATCCATGGGTGAGGGCCGGGGCCGGGCGGGGTGACTCGCGTGCTGCTCCGGGTGCCCGAGGTGGCAGGACTTTGCCCCTGCTGATTTTACATGGCCCAGTACCCTGCCCACAACCCTCATTCTGGTTGGTTTGCTTGTTCTTAGATTTCTTTATTTACTTGAAAGGCAGAGAGTGATAGAGAGAGAGAGATCTTCCATCCACTGGTTCACTTTTCAAATGGCCACAACAGCCAGGGCTGGGCCAGGCTGAAGCCAGGAGCCTAGAACTCCATCCAGGTCTCCCATGTGGGTGGTTGCAACCCAAGCATTTGGGTCACCTTCTGCTGCCACCCCGGCACGTGAGCAGGGAGCTGGATGGGAAGCAGAGCAGCCAGGGACTCAAACTGCATCCATCCGGGAAGCTGGCATCACGGCGGCTTAGCCACTGCGTCACGGCGCCCACAACCCTTGTGTAGGCACCAGCGTACCAGGCTCAGCTGTAGGTGCTGGGGACATAAGGAGGGGACACAGGACACTGTCTGCTCCCGGGAGCCGCAGCCTGGGAGAGTGTGCAGGATGTCAGGTTGACCAGGGAGAGAGAAGTGCCCAAGGGGCCGAGGTGGCACCTGCTCGGCCAGGAAGGTGTGGGGAGAAGGTAGGTCCTCGGGCGTGCAGAGAGCGCCCATGCGACCTCAGCTCCAGGCAGCATGGCCCCGGGTTGCCTGTGTGTGTCCCCTACCTCACATCCTCCCACCCGCAGGGAGCCAGAGCTCCAGGGAGGAGGGCTGGCCCCGCCCCCTGAGAACCCCTCCCGCGAGTGTCCCCCACTCCAACCCCAGGCTGACGGAGACCATTGAGCGCCTGCAGGCCCAGGTGGAGGAACTGCAGGCCCAGGTGGAGCAGCTGCGGGACCTGGAGCAGCTGCGCGTGCGCAGGGAGAAGCGGGAGCGCAGACGCACCATCCACACCTTCCCCTGTCTCAAGGAGCTGTGTACCAGTGCCCGGTAGGCGAGGGCTGCAGCCCGGGGAAGGAGGAGAGGGTGGGCGGCGGGCTGCAGGTGGGGCGGAGAGCAGGTGCATCGTCCAGGCTGGGGGAGGGGCCGTTGCTAGTGCCGGCCGTAGCCCTGGTGTTTGCCAAGCACTGTGTGTGCCCCACTGTGCCCATGTCGTGCAGTGAGGTGCATTTTATTCTGCCCACGCCTCAGGTGCGAATGCGGAGCTGCAAGGCTGTGCCTTATCCAAGGTCACCTGTCTATTTATGTTTTGAAAGATTTATTTATTTGAAAGGCAGAGTGACAGCCAGCGAGCGAGAGAGAGAGAGCAGATCTCCCATGTGCTGTTTCGTTCCCCCAAATACCCACAATAGCCAAATCTGGGCCAAGCCTAAGCCAGGAGCCAGGAACTCCATCTGGGTCTCCCACATGGGTGGTTTGGAACCCAAGCACGTGGGTCGCCTCCTGCTGCCTCCCAGGCCCGTGAGCAGGGAGCTGGATTGGAAATGCAGAGCGGCCAGGACTTGAAGCAGCGCTCCGTAAGGGGTATCCACCTGGCCACAACACCTGCCCAAGCTCACCTGCTTAGTAAGAGGCACAGCCAGGTTTCTGACCCTGCAGAGCCTCCCACTGCTGAGCTGAGGCGCGAGGGCAGAACCCTGGCCAAGGCGGCCTGTGGTCCTCAACAGCCTCCCAGGCCCTGAGCAGTGGGAGGAGCAGAGAGGCCTGGATTAACCGGCCCAGCGGACAAGAGAGGCGGATGTGTAAGTGCGCACGGCTGGGCGGCAGCCTTGGCCGTGACCGCTGCCCTCTGCCCACCTGCCCCGACACCCCCAGGTGCGAGGACGCCTTCCGCCTGCACAGTTCCTCCCTGGAGCTGGGCCCGCGGCCGCTGGAGCAGGAGAACGAGCGGCTGCAGACCCTGGTGGGGGTGCTGCGGTCCCAGGTGAGCCAGGAGCGGCAGCGCAAGGAGCGCGCGGAGCGCGAGTACACGGCCGTGCTGCAGGAGTACTCGGACCTGGAGCGGCGGCTGTGGGACATGGAGGGCTGCCGCCTGCGCGTGCAGGAACTGGAGGCCGAGCTGCTGGAGCTGCAGCAGATGAAGCAGGCCAAGACCTACCTGCTGGCCCGGGAGGACCACCTGGCCGAGGCCTTGCTCGCGCCCCTCACCCACGCCCCCGAGACCGACGACCCTCAGCCGGGCAGCGAGGACGACTCCGGCACCCAGGACGGCGTCTCGTCTCCCGACCACGCCGTGCGCAAGAGCTGCAGCGACACGGCGCTCAACGCCATCGTGGCCAAAGACCCCGCCGGCCGGCACGCGGGCCACCTGACGCTGCACGCCAACAGCGTGCGCAAGCGCGGGATGTCCATCCTGCGGGAGGTGGACGAGCAGTACCACGCGCTGCTCGACAAGTATGAGGAGCTGCTGAGCAAGTGCCGGCAGCACGGTGCCGGCGTGCGGCACGCCGGCGTGCAGACCTCGCGGCCCATCTCCCGGGACAGCTCGTGGAGGGACCTGCGCGGGGGCGAGGAGGGCCCGGGGGAGGCCAAGGCCGCGGAGAAGAGCCTGAGCCAGCACGTGGAGGCCGTGGACAAGCGGCTGGAGCAGAGCCAGCCCGAGTACAAGGAGCTCTTCAAGGAGATCTTCTCCAGGATCCAGAAGACCAAGGCCGACATCAGCGCCACCAAACTCAAGACTCACAGCGGCAAGTGACCCCCTCCGGCCCACAGCCTCCCTGGGGGGTGGGGGGCGGACCGCAGGGTCCCTCCCGCCTGCCCCGTGCAGCGTCAGGCTAGTGAGAGAGCCCGGTAGCAGCATATAGGGAGCAGGTGGCTGCTCCGGGAGGCCATGCGGCATGGGGTCCCCCCGGAAGTGGAGGCGCCAGCCTGTCCTGCCTCCAAATCAAAGCCAAACGTCCCAGCTCCCCCGGGGACTCCCAGGCTTCCCATGCCCTGGCTCACTGACCCTGGGCCTCGCCCTCAGATGGGTGGCCAGGCTTCTAAAGCCATTCTGTATCGGTTGGCGCTTTTTTTTTTTTTTTAATTTCAATTTTTCTGAGAGATTTGCAATGCAAGGTCTCCTCGACCCCTTGCTACTGGAAACACTTGAAAGGGGGATCTCGGAGCCTGCTGTGGCAGGCTCTGGGGTCTCCTGGACCACCCACTGCTTCTCACCAGGCACAACTCGCTGTCATTCCCCTAAGCGCTGGCTGCCCACCCCAGGGTCCTGAGCAGCTGGCAGACAGCCCCTGCGCCAACCTTGGTGCAGTCCCTGCGCGCACACAGCTGTAGCCAATCACAGGAGGCCAAGAGGGAGCCTCAGGCCAGCCTCCTCCTCGCAGACCAGCCCCGGAAATGCCTTCTGGGCTCTAAGCCTTTGCAGGGGCCAGGTGTGGGGAGCCTGCCCTCTGCCTCTGCCGCCCCTCTCCGCGCCCGCCCCTGTCTCAGGGACCATGACATCTCATGCACTCCATGCTCCCCACAGGCCCAGCCTGGCGCCGGTCACAGCCCCCAGGACATCCTCCTGGGCAGGTGCCACCAACCAGAGGGCCCAGTGGCCATGCTCACCCCCCTTCCCTGGGGACTACCCGGGACTCACCCTGCACTGAATGGTACTGAAACGGGATGAGGACGAGAACCATGTTCTCTCCTTCCCTCCCGTCCTTTGTGGGGGAGGGGGCTTGAGGACCCAGGAGGGTCGAGGCTTCACGGACTCAAGCTTCAGCTAAGAGGAGCCCTGCACAGTCCAGGGCTTCTGGTTCCTTCTGCCGCCTCCCCTGAAACCCCAGGAGTCAGAGGAGCGGAGCCGTCCGGTGGCAGGTGGTGGCCCCGGCTTCTGTGCTGGGAGCCCAGTGGGAACCTTGATGCCTTATTTATTTCTAATGGGTAAAGGGGTTTTCTCAACAAGCATGCCCGACCTCCCTGGAGACCACCCTGCCCTCCAGGCGGCACTGTGACGCGAGCTGGCGGCCGGGTCCCTGGGCTTGTGCGTGTCGGACCTTTTGTCATTTGGGGCTGGGCAGCTCCCGGCCCTCGCTGTGTCTCTGTCGGGGAGGGGATGGTGGAGAGCTCCGGCCTGTTTGCTCCCCAGCTCTGTAGCAGCCACTGAGTAGCATCACTTCTGAAGCATACACGAGAGATATATTTACAAATGCTTTATTCTCTTCTTTAATAAAAAATGCGTCAGTATTCTAAAAGCAGAAATGGCCTCCGAGCATCTCACATGCCTGTCTCCCTGCCCACACAACTGTGGGGGGTCCTGAGTCCACCCCTGTGGCCCCCTACCTCCTCTGAGGCTGCTCAGGGCCTGAGTGTTCAGGATCCCTCTCCTCGCCTCCTTGTGAGTGGCACCAGGCGGCTCCAAGTGACAGGTGCAGGGGGGCAGTCGCTATATTGAGTGTGTGCCAGCTGCCGCAGCCACGACACAGCGGTGAGCACAGCAGACAGGACCTCATCCTCGAGGAGTCAGGTTGAGAAGATCCACGCAAAAGCAACCACGTGGAAAACCAACAACCGAAGCTGGTGCGATGGACAGGGCTGCAGGAGGGCAGGGCACGTGTGCTCGCTGGGCGAGGCAAGCATCCCGAATCACCTTACATAACGTGACGTGGAGAGATGCCCAGTATTGTCAGTCGGGGAAGAAAATGTCTGGATAGCCCCTTCCAAGGTGGGGAGGGAGGGGGTGATGATGGGAAGGTGAACCCCTGGCTGAAGGCAGCTGGGCGGCATCCACAGGGGTAGGGATCCAGCTGTGACCCGAAGGGAGCAGCCCCCCACCCCGCCTGGGCCCCCTCAACCTGTGAGAAGCAACTGCAGGGCACATTTTAAAGATTTATTTATGAGAGGCAGAGAGAGGTGTCCAGCCGCTGGGACCCAGATGACCACAATGGCCAGAGCTACGCCGATCCAAAGCCAGGAGCTTCTTTCAGGTCTCCCATGTGGGTGCAGGAGCCCAAGGACTTGGGCCATTTTCCACTGCTTTCCCAGGCCATAGCAGAGAGCTGGATCGGACGTGGAGCAGCCGGGACTTGAACTGGTGCCCATATGGGATGCTGACACTGCAAGCGGTGGCTTTACCCCCTATGCCACAGTGCCAGCCCCTGCAGGACACATTTTAACAGCGTTGGTTGTGGGGTTAGAAGCCCTCCTGGGTGGCTACCCAGAGGTGGAATGGTAGCAGGAGAAGTCATTGACCCAGCCCAGCTCCTGAGGCCCCCAGGGAATGGGAAAGTCCGGGAGGCAGAGCAGCCCTTGGCAAGCCGTCCACTGGGGCCACAGGACAACCCCAAGAACAAGAGGGCCAGCTCCTGGTGTTGGGGACGCCTCACCTCTCTTCCATATCCTTCAAGACCCTCACAGGGCTGTGACCCAGGTCCCCCACAGTTCATGGAGGGGTGGGGTGGAGCCCCTCCTGGAGGGGCTCACCCAGCCTTGCTCTGGCACCACAGCCAGTCACCACTGGGCTGTTCTCAGCGAAACAAGAGTGTGTGCGCCAAGTCGGCTTCCACACTCCCCCTGCCCGCTCCCAACCCGGCAGTGGCCACTTGGAGCGTGAGAACCCTCCCCAGCTCAGACATCAGAGCCCGAGGCCCGCGGCCACAGGTGTGGGTCAAGGGGCACCTTTGCAAGATCTGCCTTCTCCACGCTATCGACGCCCTCACCCCTCCTTGCAGGGCTCCTGCGTGGGGTCCCCTGCGGTGCTGGATTTGCTGGTCCCTCCCCCAGCTCGGAGCCGACCAACAGCACAGGTGGCATCTGCAGTCCCAGAAGAAAACACTCCAGAGTCTTTGGGGCTCCCTTTCTTGCTGCCTCCTCCACTCTCCTGTTTGCAGACAGGAAATGCAGCGCTGTGGCCCTCCTCCACCTGGATGTGCAAGAAAAGCTTCCCAAGTCCTCCCTTGGAGCTGGGCTCCGGGTCCAGCTCAGAGCCTGCCGGGGAAAAGTGGGCCTCCCACCAACGCCCCTGCCCTGGGTTCCCAAAGAGCCGGGAGCAGCCTCCTGGGGGGGGGGTGTGGGGAGCCCAGCGCTGGGTCCCCAGCTCGCGGCTTGCACCGCACCTGGACAGCGAGGGTCCCGCGCTGCTGTCACCTGTATCCAGAGGGCTGGAGAGCACACGTGGCTCACGCAGGCACAGCTGAGAAGGAAGCTGTGTCCCCAGCCACCTGCCCACCCCCTGCTGTTTCCAGCTGCCCATTCCTCCAGCCCCAGCACACTCTGTCCTCCCCCTGCTGGCCTCCCCGGGCTCAGGCCTCCCTGGACTGGCTGCCTCCCCGACTCCACAGTCCCAGAGTCACCGCGGTGAGGAGGATCAGCCAGCAGACCCCACCCACCTTGCAGACCCTGGGCTGAGCTCCCCAGGGCGGCTCTGTCTTCAGGGACTGGGCAGACAAGGGTGGGGAAAGCAGCTAGCATGGCCCCCGGCTCCAAGTCCGCACACAGCAAAACTGAGCCAGGGCCCAGGCTCCTTGCGGAGACCTGACGATGAGCGTTCTGTCTTTTCTCTGCAGCCCCGGGAGGGGACTGGGTGCCGGGCGCCATGCTGGCCGCCACACCTGAGCTTCACTCCCTCTGCAACTGAGACCACTATGCAACATTTTACCGATGGGGATGGGCGGTATACAGGTTAAGCAAGCAGATCCAGGTCACGGGGAAGATTCTAACTCAGACCTGCCCGACACCAGCATACGTCACTTCGTGTTTCCTGTCCCCCCCCCCCCAAGCTGTGAGTCTGATGGGGGCCATTGAGAAGACAAAGGGAAGCCCTGGGCGGGTCTACCGGGGAGCTGGGGACCGGCATCCGCAAGCTCCTGGGTGCCAGGACTGCCTTGGCGTGATTATCTCGCCTTCCCCCACCTCCCCTCGCCCCTCACCTCCCCTGCCCTCCTGAAGGCTTGGGAGCACCAGGATGGAGAAGGCTGGTTTCAGCCTTCTACATCCGGCAGCAAGCAGCCCCTCTCAGCTCGTCCCCCACCCCGGGAAGGGCCCCCATTCTGGATGGTTTGCAGCAGCAGCAGGTGACAGGAGCCGCCTCCCAGGAGTCTGTCTCCTCCTCTCGTCAACCCCCCCTCCTCTCCCAAAATCCAGGCCACCAGATGGCCCGAGCAGGCTGTGTTTATCTGGGGCCTTGGAAACCTGCGGCTTCCTTTTCCTGTCCTCTGGGTGAGCGCAGGCCTGGAGCTGCTTCCAACTTTATTTTCTCTAATCCCGCAGCCCTCGGGCTTTGCTGCCCAGAATGGCTTACTGCAGTCCCCATGGAGACGCCGCTGTTCCCGCTGAGGTCTGGGGACTTAAGTCAGACGGGGAGGCACCCAGGAGTCTCCTTCCAGCCCAGAGGACAATGTCAGTAGCACCCCCTCCCCAGTCAGGTCTTACAAAGCTGGCGCCTGGGAAGCCGCTAATTCCAAGATTTCACCATCTCACTGATGCCGGGATGGTCCAGGCACGACCTGACGCCCAGCTGTCTCCATCAGCCCACATCCCCAGGACCCTGCTGGTCTGGCTTTTTCCTAAAAATAGAACTGGTCACTAAGGAGGGGCAGCCCCTCGGGTGAGGGAAGAGGTTCCTGCCGCTCTCCCAGCTCGGTTTTCCGCGGCAAAGCAACCGCACCCAGGCTGGGCTGTCTCCGGCGCCTCCGGCTCTGCTCTGGCCTCTTCTCGGCGGGAACGTCCCAGCTCCGGAGCCCACAGGCTCCGCCTGGCCTGCCGCTGTCCGGCCCCTCCTCACCTCTCCAGTCTCCCCCCCACACACAGCTGCTCCATAAAGCTGGGGCGGCGAGGGGGTCCCGCATGGTGGACCCTGGGGTCTGTCCCCCTCCCCTCCCGCCTGGCAGGCGTCACCACCCCCTCCACGCGCTAGGGGGATTTGCTTTGGGGGAGCACACGGCCTGAGGCTCCCAAAGCTCAGCTGCACCAGAGCTTCGCTTCTCCCTCCCCCCAAAAAATCACTCCTACAGACGCCAATTTATGCATATTTTAATGAAACGCCCCAAGCCTGCCATCTTCTAGCGCCTGGGATACAAGCCCGAAGCAGAGGCCTCTCTGGAGCTTCTACTGTGGCAACTGCATCAGAAGAATAAGAAACCAGGAGAAGCGGAGCAGGGTGCAGGGGTGGGCGCGGGGTGGGGGAGACAGGAGCCGGGCCCGTGGGCAGAGGGTCGCTGAGCTGCGTCTGGGCGTTGAGCGGTCCCAGCGGAGGGAACCGACTCCAAAAAGAAGAGATGTTTCTGGAGGGCTCAGGGTTGTTTTCACGTCGGTTCGCTGCCTGGCCAGCGGCCCCCTCAAGCCGACCAGGCCTCCCGCAGGCCGCTGCCTGGGTACCATCGCCGCGAGCCCAGATCGCCGCGTCCCGGCGCGGGGCCCTAGCAACAGCGCGGAACCAAAGTCGCGCGGGCACTGCGAGCTTGCGGACCGCGAGCGAAGAGCGCCTCCCGGAAGTGGCCCCGAGACCCGAACATGGCGGCCGCCCGGTGCCTTCGCTCGAGCCTGAGCCGAGCTGGAGCCTGGCTGCTGTTCTCGCCGCCCGGGCGCTGCCCGCGCCGGGCTCTGCACAAGCAGGCGGACGGCACGGAGTTTAAGAGCGTCTACAGCCTCGAGAAGCTCTACCCCGAATCCCAGGGCAGGGACACCGCCTGGAGAATCCCGGTGAGCCGGAAGGACAGGGCGGAAGGGGCGTTTCCGGCCGCTGCTAGGTGACGACCGGAAGCGGGGCCATTGGCTGGGCGAAGGGGCTACGTGGAGGGGGCAGCCGCGCGTGGAACGTGGCGGTCGTCGTGGGAGAGGGCTGGGCGGTGGCGCCTGGCGTGGCTGGAGACGTGCGGGCGCCCGGGGAGGCCTCTGGACGGGCTGGTGGCCTTGGCGCGCTCGCGTCCTGGCCCTGCCAAGGTGGACAGCGCCGGCCAGAGGCTGCCCGGGCGTTGGCTACCTTTCGGAAGGTTGCGTTTTCCCGGCGCCCCTGAGACAACAGGGGGATCCTGCAGGATGCGTGCACTGCGCTCTCTTGCGTGCAGGTGCAGTTGCGCCCAAATGGAGTAGGCCTTCCTTCTCCCATCGGCTCATCCCATAAACCGACACCGACCGAGAGCGTGCCGGGCGCGCAGCCAGGGGCTGCGGTAGCCAGCAAAGCAAAACCTCTCGTGCAAGGAGCCAGGCCATAAATCAAATAAATAGGGAACATGGAATGGGTGAGATGGTAGTTCGGAGAGAACAAGTCCCGCTAGACGTAGGGAGTGGGTTTGCAGCGTTAAGTAGGGCGGTCTAGGACAGCCCCTGGCATTGAGTGATGACCTGGAAGAAGCCAACCCAAGGCCTCCGGGAATGGGGAGAGGCCACAGTCCCAGCAGAGGGAACGCCCGTGTAGCAGGCTTGAGGCGGAGGGGGGTGAGTGGGGCAGGCCTGTTTGCAAGGCCGCCTGGCCTTTCCCGCTGGGGGATGGGGACCTGTTGGAGGGACTGAGGCACAGAGCAGGATGGTGCGCCTTGGCTGGGTAAGGGCCAGCCCTCGCACAGTGCCTTGCGGAGAGCGGGTGGCGGGTGGCTGAGCAGTCAGACTGGACGCAGGAGAGAGGACGGCCAGGGTGGAGCAGGCGGAGTCCCAGGAAGTGGTCAGATCCGGGATACGTTCTGAAGGGGAGGCCTACAGGATTTGCTCATGGATTGGATACAAAAGTGAGAATGAGAGGAATTGAAGGCTGGGGCCTTGAGCAGTGGGAAGGAGTTTACCATGAACTGAGATGAGAAAGGGGCGCAACTCATCGTTCATTCAATAAAACCTTACCGCGAACCCACTGTCGGGCGTGTGCACAGCAGGTGCAGCCATGAGCAGCCAGCCAGACTCCTGCTTCCTGGGAGGAGCCTCAGGGCGTGAGTGGAGGACTTGGGGCTCCTTCAGGTCCTCAGGGAGGGAGGAGCCCTGGGTGGGAGGCGCGCCCCGGCATCCCAGAGCAGGCCTGGAGCACCCGCTGCGTCCACAGGGCTGGGGTGGAGGAAGGAGGTTCAGCCAGCAGAGGTGAGAGAAGAGGTTCTCGTCTCTGCACAAGAAGGAGCTCAGACCTGAGGCAGTGGTGGTAAGCAGGGTGGCAGAGAACGGCACCTGACAAACCAGGCAGGCGTCTCAAGGAAGGGCGGAGCACGCGGTCTGTATTCAGACCCCGGCTTGTGAAGGAATGGCGTCCAGGTCTTTCTGCCATTTCTCCTTCCCCTTCCCTCTTCTCCTGGACACAGGGCTTGCTGGGTCTGAGATAGGTAAAATACCTTTTTCTTTTTTTAAGATTTATTTATTTATTATTTGAAAGGCAGAGTTATAGAGAGGCAGAGAGAGAGGCATCTTCCATCCACTGTTCACTTCCCAAATGGGCTCAATGGCTGGAGCTGCGCTGATCCAAAGCCAGGAGCCAGGAGCTTCTTCTGGGTCTCCCATGTGGGTGCAGGGGCCCAAGCACTTGGACCATCTTCCACTGCTTTCCCAGGCCATAGCAGAGAGCTGGATTGGAAAAGGAGCAGCCGGGACTCGAACCGGCACCCAAATAGGATGCTGGTGCTGCAGGCGGCGGCTGTACCCACTATGCCACAGCGCCGGCCCTGGGTAAAATTCCTCTTAAGGATATTCTAGTGATATCAGATTGGGCAGCCCCTTGGTGCTAGGCAGAGAGGATTCTGGGGTGCTTTGGCTGGGGGAAGGCTGGGGCCACCTATGAAGTGCCTGGGCTGCGGGTGCGGGCAGGGCTTTGTAGTAGAAGATACAGGCCGCTCTGTGCCTTTCCACGGAAGCTGTTTCCCTTGCGCCCCTCTCAGGCGCAGGGGCTGGTGTCCTCCCTACCTAACGGTTCGAGTTTGAGCCGGTGCAGCTGGTGTTATGCCGGTGACGGTATTTTCTTCGGGGGACAGCAGAGGGAGGAGAGGAGGGATTTAGAGTGGCCGGGAGCTAGCAATGGAGAATGAGGAGGAGGCACGGAACAGCTGGGAGCCTGGCCCAGCAGGAAGGGGAGGGGGGCGGGGTGAGGATTCCACCCCAGTTTCTGAAACACAGAAGGGTCCAGGCAGCCAGAGCCGTGCGGATGCGTAGCCCTTGGCCTGGAGGCCGGGCAAGCCTCCGTGGGGGTGGAGTTTGTTCTGCACACCCAGAGGTTGAAGCTGAAGGGCCCTGCTATGGGAGGAGGTGTGGACAGGAGCCCTGTCCCTGTTGGAGGCAGGCCCACCCGCCCCTGCCAGCCAAGCCCCCCACGGCCACAGGGGCAGCAGGTGCCCACTGTGGGCTTCTCGCTCCAGCCCGGTAGACAGCATTGCTTTCAGAGTCTCCCTGATGAGCGCTCACCGTGGCTTCCCCTCAGCCACGGGTCAGCCCTCCGGTCCCCTCAGCCGCGGGTCAGCCCTCCAGTCCCCTCAGCCGCGGGTCAGCCTCCGGTGGCGCCCGGGGGCCAGGAAGGTTGGAGACATCGGTTCCTTCTTCCCAGAGGAGCGTTGCTGAGGTGGTCCCGGTGGGGGCGCCTCTCCTGCATCCTGATGGGCTGGCCTTGCTGGGGACCTGGAAGCAGTCCGGCGTCACCTTCGTGTGAACACCTGACAGCGCCTCCTCTGTTGCCCGGGGCCAGCCAGGCTCGCCCAGCAGGTGAGGCTTCTGTGACGCTGTGTGCGTTATGTTGCAGGAGGACGCAAAGCAGGCCGGCGGGGACATCCCTCTAGGTAAGTGATTTTGTTTCATTGACAATCAGCCGGGGAGGGTGTTGGGCACAGATGCCGCTCGCGATGCCCACGTCCCCTGTGAGAGTGCCAGGTTCGAGGCTCAGCTCAGCCCCTGCAAGTGCAGACCCCGTGAGGCAGCGGGTGATGGCTTGGTCTCCCCTGTGGGACCTGGATTGCGTTCCGGGCTCCTGGCTTCGGCCTCACCCAGCCCCAGCTGTTGTGGGACTTAGGGCAGTGAGTGCGAGACAGCTCGCTCGCTGTTTCTTTCTCTGCCTTCCAAATAGGGAAAATGAAGATTTTTTTTTTTCAATTAAAATAAAAAAGCAGTCATTTCCCCTTCCACATCTCTGCAGCCCAGATAAAGAAACCGTCTCTGGCCGGGCAGAAGTGGAGTCCTTGTGGCATTCTTTGGCCTGGCGAACAAATGAGGGTGCAGCCACTCCTGGGGTGCTCTGCAGGGCGCCACACGCGGAGAGAGCGCTTGATGTGAGCAGTTTAGACACAGCTGGGTGGGTGGTGTGGGAAACAAGGCGGGGCGGGGGCAGGTGAGCTCCGTTTGCCTTTCACAGCACAAACCTGGGTGACTCCCTCGTCCGCACGTCTGCGAGGGTGGACAGGAGACGCCATGACTGCCTCGGAGGGTGGAGAGAGGAGGCGGACGTGCTGGCTGGGGCAGGACTGGGGGGCTGCTCGTTAGCCTGACTGTGTTTCCCAGATGCTCACAACAGCTGGGGCTGGGCCAGGCCGAAACCAGGAGCCAGGAACTCCACCCAGGTCTCCCACATGGGTGCAGGGGCCCAAACACCTGGGCCGTCCTCTGCTGCTTTCCCAGGCACATTTGCGAAGAGCCGGACCGGAGGCAGGACAGCCGGGGCTCCGTCTGGGGCGCCGATGTTGCACGCGGACCACAGCTCTGGCTGCCTATCGCATCACTTTAGAAATCAGCGCCTGCCCGGCGCCGACAAGGCCCAGCAGCCGTGGCTGAGGGAGAAACCCTGAGCTCCTCCTTAGATTCAGAGTTTCTGGGTCCCCTAGAGCATGCCAGGCAGGGCAGTCAGGGGCGCCTGCTCCCTGTGGCCCTCGTGCAGGGTGAGACAGCCCAGCTGACTGCAGCACAGGGGGAGACACGCGGGGCCTCTGCCGCCCTGTAGCTCACGGCTGCGCCCTGAGGGTGCGTGGAGGGGAGGAGGCAGAAACGCCTCGCATCTCAGCAGAACCGGCAGCCAGGAGGTGTCCTGTTCTGCGGAGGCCTCAGCCGCTGCCGTCAGCCTGGCCCACGCGGCCCGAATGGCTCCAGGCACCACGTGGAGTGTTCCCCGTGCAGGGCCGTGTGCACTTGCTACGCCGTCAGAGGATGGGTTTACCTGGCTTTTTCCAGGGGAGGAAGCTGCTGCGCCACAGTGCTAAGAGGGGTCCCTACCGCCTGGTGAGGCGGCTCCGCGCCGCCCCGGGGCCCGGCTCGCGGCACCTGAGCCCCCTGGGACTCACCCGCCCTCTGCGCGGTTTTCCCACTCCTCCTCCCCGGCTTTCCTCACACACTGCAAGGCTGCTTTGCATCCGTTACAAGAACGGAAGGAAGAAAGCTCGTTTTGCAAGTGAAAAACAAATAAAACTGAGACCCAGAGAAGCTGTGGGGCGTCCCCAAGATCTTGGAGGGGCCGAGGCAGCAGGTGGGGGGGTGAAGTCGGCACCGGCCTTCCCGGCTCAGCGCTGACAGCCGACGCGGAGTCCACGTGCACCACGTGCCCGGTCTGTGCGAAGGCCGCTTGCCTGAAAACAAACATGACCCGGGGCTCGACCGGGCGTCGGTGGACTGTGCCGGCCGAGGCAGACGGCCAGCTCCTACCCGTACCGTACCTGCTGTGCCATCTGTCCTGGGCAGCCGCTCGCCCGTGACTGCACCCTGGCTCCGACTGCTTCGCCCGCCGCAGCCACCAGCGTGCCCGTGCCGTTGGAAGGGGCGTGAGCGGCGGGACAGCCAGGTCCACGGCGAGTGAGCAGTTACGTGTTTGGCCACGGGACAGGCGGTTCTACGTGCGCCTGCTTGTTTTCCAGATCGCCTGACCATCTCGTACTGTCGGAGCAGCGGGCCCGGGGGCCAGCACGTCAACAAAGGTACCGGCGCCCCCGTTCTGTGGTCAAACCCAGCTCCCAGAGGGCTTGCGGAGCCCGAGCTTACGCCCCGGGAATAAAGGGGTTTCTCAGCGGAGGCTGAAATACTCCGGCTCATAATAATCCTCTTTCTTCCCTGGACTCGGGCTCTCAGCTGGGGGCGGGTAGGACCAGGACCGGCTTGTGAGGCAAAACAAAGAGAACCAGTGAGGGGTGGGGGAGGGGCGGCTCCCAGAGCCGGCTGCTTGCCTCCGTGGCCCCCACGAGCGAAGCCCTGGACCCTGAATGGCCGGACGTCCATTGTGGTCCAGAGGTGCCTCCGGGTCTTTGCGGGCTCTGTGCATGTCCGACCGGGACGTGGGCTGGGGTGCACGGGGTCGGGTGCGTGGCCCCCACTGTACCGGGACCCATGCCGCCCCCTTCGCACCCACAGTGAACTCCAAGGCTGAAGTGCGGTTCCATTTGGCCACTGCCGACTGGATCGCGGAGCCCGTGCGGGGGAAGATCGCCGTCACGGTAACCACCGCCCCCTCCCCGCACACCCTCCACGGCTTTCCCGCCCCCACTCCCCCCCACTCCGTAGGATCCTGCTTTTTCCTCTCTTCTGCAGCATAAGAATAAGATCAACAGGTGCGGAGAGTTGATTGTCACCTCCGAGAGCAGCCGGTATCAGTTCCGGAACCTGGCGGATTGCCTGCGGAAAATCCGAGCGCTGATCGCCGAGGCCAGCCAGACGCCCGAGGAGCCGTCCAAGGAGGACGCTCAGCTCTGGAAAGCCAGGTGCCGGGAACGCCCCCTGCCCCTCTGCCGGCCGCTGATTCTTGGGGGAGGGCACCACCCAGGTCACAGGAGCAGTGCAGAGCAAGGCCTCCCAGCCCGCAGGAGGGGGGCGGGGGCTGCGGCCCGTGGCAGCACCCACGGGGCTTCTAGCCTGTCACCACGTCGCGGAGCACGGCTTGGGCCTTTGAGCCTAATTGTGATCCTTTTGTTTCAGGATAGAGAGCAGGAACCGGGAGAGGCTGCGGCAGAAGAGAGCGCATTCTGCCCTCAAGGCCAGCAGGAGGGCAGACGTGGACTGAACCCCGGGCAGCCGGCCCCGGAGAGGAGACGTTTGTCCGCTTCTGCTGACCGTGCGAGCGACAGCGCTGGCGCCATCGCGAGAATGCTCGCTGGGACCGTGGGCACGGGCACGGTGCGGAGTTCAGCGTGGGCTGTCACTGGGTTGTCCAACTTCGCGTGTCAGCTGCAGTGAAATAAACTTCCAACCAGCAGGCTGCCCCTCTCTGCCACCCCAGAACACTCCCTGCCCTTCCCTGCACCGAGAGCCGCCTCACTGGCAGGGGAGGCAGGAGCGGGTTCTGGCGTCTGCCCTGGGAGGGGAGGGGGTGGTGAGCCTGGAGGGAGAGGCCCGGGGCAGGGGCAGAGAGCTCCGTTTGAAGACACCCCACGGGCTGGAGTGGGGAGGAGTCCAGTGCGGGTCCGGGGGCTGCTGCGCCGGCAGTGGGCTCCGGGCAGGAGGGCCGAGCCAGGACAGGGGAGAGCCCCCCGGCTGCGCAGCGGCAGCAGACTGGCGCACAGGGATTTCTTAGAATGTCCCGCGGCGTTTTGATCTCGTCCCCTCGACAAACACTGCTGCGCGGTGTCCTGCCCCGTGAGCCGTGCTAGGGCAGCGGCGTACGTGAGCGAGCGCCTTGGCCTTCGTGGGAGTCCTTTGTGACTTCTGCAGAGGGCGTGGAGGACAGGCCCCTGCCCTGAAGGCACTCAGCTGGCCGGAGCCGAGGCGCCCGCCCCGGACTGCGACCTCCCTTCGTTTACTCGGTCAGCAAACGTGCGCCGGGGGCCGAGCACTGGGCCAGAAACCAGCCGGCAGCAGAGCCTTGTCTTCCGGAGAACTGACACTTGCTCAGGTGACAGTAAGAGCCAAAAAGAAAAATGAACCCCGGTTCTAGCAACAAAACAGGCTCAGTGGGTTGTGGGAGGCACAGGAGTGATTGGGCCTAGCCAGGGGGTCCCATGGAGGACAGGTGCTGGACCCCTGGAGAGGCTGTCGGGAGTATGGGTCTGCCCAGGACAGGGCAAGGAAAGCCGGCAGGGCGGTGGGCACAGGCCAGCCAGCTGTCCCCTCTGTGTAGTCAGCAACCCATGCTGGACACGGGGCAGGGCCATCAGGGATGGGGAGAGAAGTGTCAGAGCCCGGGGGCCCTGAGAAATGGAACCCGAGCAGTGCCCCGGGCCGCCACTGAGGGGCGCAGGTGAGTGGGGCCGGCAGAGCCTGGGGAACCCGCGTTGGTGTCCCTGTGGGTGACCCAGGGGCACGGCGCTGGGCCCGGAGGCCCCCGAGGACGTTGGGTGCACGTGAAGCCACGCGGAAACGCTTTGAAGAAACGCAGAGAGGCGAAGAGAAACCGAAGGGGGCGGGGGCAGAGAGCGGAGCCGGATCTTTAAAGAAAATGCTGAGTGCGCACAAGGCACAGGCGACCCCCAAAGAGGGTTGAGCGAAAGCGGCCGCCCCACGAGGCTGCAGTTCCTTCATGACGCGAAAGCGAAGACAAGTTCGTAGTGGCGGGGGAAGTTTCCGCACCAGGAGCTGGGTCCTGCCGGGGTGGGGGGTGGGGGCGCTGTGTCCTGACCCAAGTGGCCGTGCACCTGCTGGCACCTGAGGCCTGTCGGCACTTCGCCTGCCTGCTCACTCAGCAGACTAACGCACGCACTGGAAGGACTGCGGAAAATGCTTCCTTCCAGCTGACGTACGCGTTCGGGACAGAGAAGCAATGTCTCCAAGGCCCTGTGGCCGGCATCACTGGGGGGACAGGTGAGGTCTCCATGCCCGCACAGGCTGGAGCACGGACGTGCACTCATTGAAACGATGGGTTTTTAACCTGTTTTACATGGGGGGGGGGGGCCTCATGGCACAGCCGGTTAGAACTTCCGCATGCAACACCAGCGTCCCACGCGAGCCTCCACTGGAGTCCCCACTGCTCCGCTTCTGCTCCGCTCCCTGCTAACGCACCTGGGAGAGCGGTGGCAGGGGCCGAGTGCTTGGACCCGTCATCCACATGGGAGACCCGGATGGGGAGATCCAGGCTCCTGGCTTCGGCATGGCCCAGAGTGAAAGAGCAGGTGGAAGATTCTCTCCCTCTCTCCCTCTCTCCCTCGTTTCAATTTGTTTGAAAGGCAGAGTTACAAACAGGGAGAGAGAGAGAGGTTTTCCATCCACTGGTTCACTTCCCACGACCAAGGCCGGGCCAGGCCAAAGCCAGGAGCCAGGCGCTCCGGGTCTCCCACGCGGGTGCAGGGGCCCAGGGACCTGGACCATCTTCCGCTGCTTTCCCAGGGGCATCAGCAGGGAGCGGGATCGGAAGCGGAGCAGCCGGGACTCGAATCAATTTTTAAAAATCTTAGTTTTCTTCCAGGTCGATTTATTACAATTCATCACCGCAGCGTTTAACATCATAAACGTCTTCCTGTGTTCTGACCACGTCAAAGGCGAGACGCGTTAGGGTGAATTTCCACGCGGCTGCTGCCTTTCCTATGTATGGTTGTAGCATTAGACACGTGACCTTCTGTCCTTTCTGCCTGGACACCGGACGGGGAGGCTTTCCTGTGCAGACGGACCGGGCGCGGAGGGGACGAACCACGGAGTCCGCAGCCGGGCGGGGCTCCGGGTGGGTGGGCGTGGGCGGGGCCCCGCGGGTGCGGAGGGGCCGGGAAGCTCTTCTCTAAGGGGAGGTGGGTGGGTGGGGTCTCTGGGACTCGGGGACGAGGACCGAGAAGCGGACCGGAGCGCTCGTCGTGGCTCGGTCCGGCTCCACCACCGCTGCTTGTCCGTTCTCGTACATTCCATCCTGAAACCCTGGGTCTCCGATCAGCTCTGGGAAAGCCCTCCGACTCCGCGGGGTACCGGCAACCCCCGCGTGGGGCGCCCGGGCTCCACGGTGCGTGTCCGTGCAGTGCGCTCGCCTCCCGCGTGGGACCCCACGCGCCCGCCCCCGGCCGCGCGCTCCTCCGGAGCCGGCTTAGCAGGTGCGCGGACGGCCTATTAGGGCAGAGCAGGCACGCAGCCACGTGCCGCGGGCCCCAGTGGCCTAATGGATAAGGCACTGGCCTCCTAAGCCAGGGATTGTGGGTTCGAGTCCCACCTGGGGTAGGGCTTCCGTTTTTTTGAATTCCCCTTATCCAGGGATTCTAGAAATGACTCAGGCTTCCGGTTCGACTCGCTTGCACGGGAGTCACCGGGTCTCTGCCCCCGGCGCCAGCTTTCATTCGAGTAAATTTCCAGTAGGGTTCTCGGATCGAGAATGGGAGGGAGGGCTAAGGGGCAGGTGCGGCCAGAACCGCACGACTCCGGGCGCGTGGCGGCTCCGCAGCCAGAGGGGGTGACCACTGAGGCCGCGCCCCCTGGCAAGAAAATTTGGCACCGGGGCGCGCTCGCCACCCCAGGTGGGACTCGAACCCACAATCCCTGGCTTAGGAGGCCAGTGCCTTATCCATTAGGCCACTGGGGCGCGACAAAAAGACTACCGCGCGCAGGCTGTGATGGCGTGGCCGGAGCCCGTGCCGCCGGGACGGCCGCGCGGCCACCGGGTCCCCGGGAGGAGCGGACTCCGGGGCCGGTCAGCTCGCTCCGCAGAAGCTAAGCCGACGGCGGAGGAGGGCCTCGAACCTGCGGATTCCCACCCGCAGTCGGACGCCTCAGCCGTGAGGCCACGCGGTCGCGGCGCGCAGCGGCCCGCAGGGAGTGGCCCGGCGCCGCGGGGCAGCGGGCAAGCCCACGCGTGTGCATGGTCCTTCGTGGAGAGCGCGTGGGTCCCCCGTGGTCGGTGGGCACGTTCCGGTTCTCGTCGGCCAGCAGGCGCCGGAGCCCTGCCTGACACAGAGCCCGGACGGCGGGCTCCCCGGAGGAGTCCTGGGTGACGTCATCACGCAGCCCGCGGCGTCACAGCTTAAGAGGCATGTAATCAGGCGCCGGTTGCGTGAAGCCCCAGTGGCCTAATGGATAAGGCACTGGCCTCCTAAGCCAGGGATTGTGGGTTCGAGTCCCATCTGGGGTGGAGAGGTCTCTGAGCCGAGTTTATTTAGCATTTTTGTATTTGTTTATGAAACCAGCGCAGTCTTCCATCTCAAATAGCGTTTAGCTACGTTTCCTCGCATTTTTCAGTCGCGGTTAATGTTCTTTTTCTTCTGGACGGAGCCTGGCCCCATTGGGCAGTCTTGTTGGGACTGTGGCCTGCAGACGCGTGCCCCGTGGACGAGCGGACGCCACGCGAGCGTTGTGCGTGGGTGCGTCGCAGCAAGGCTCGGGCGAGTGCGGCGGGGCTCTGTCCACGCAGCCCAGGCGCCCGTGATGGGAGAGACAGCCAGGATCCGCGCGGGCCGGGGGCTCCCTGGAGGCCGGCGGGGGCGCGAGGGCACCAGCACCCCCCGCATCGCCCCTGCGGCCGAGGCTGCCCGCTGCCCACGCGCGGCCGGCCGCCAGGGGCCATGGGGGGAGCCCTGGCGTTGCCTTTTAACACTCGCCGTGGACTCAGCCCCGCGAGGATGCGTGGCCGGTTACCGGCTGTCCCTCTCCGGACACGCGCGTTTGTGCACGCGGCCGCGTCCTCGCTCAGTACAACGTTTTATTTCGCGAATGTCCTACTCGGGCCGGGGTGGTGTTTTAACTCCTGGGCGCTGCAGCCTGAGCGCTCAGAGCAGCGCGCATTTCACCCGATTGTCTTAAACTCCATTTTCCTTGCATTTGAAAGGCAGAGAGAGGCCTTCCATCCACCAGCTCACTCCCAAATCCCCACAGCAGTCAGGGCTGGCCAGGCCAGCGCCAGGAGCCCAGCAGTCCCTCCAGGTCCCCCTCGCAGGTGGCCGGGCCGGATGCAGGCACCCGAGGCGGCACCCTGATCGCTGTGCAAATGTCCACCCAAGTCGTGTTTTCCTAAGGTTTTATTTTCTTTTCACGCTAACTGGGCTATTTGATAAAGAACTCTCCCTTGTGAATTTGGAATATTTATCCTGAAACACAGTAAAGAAAGATAGCGTAGGGGCCAGCCTTGTGGTGACGGGTCAGCTGCCACCTGCCACGCCGGGCATCCCACGCACACTCCAGCTCGAGTCTGGCAGCTCCCTACTAGTGCCCTGGGAAGGCAGCAGCAAGTGGCCCAAGGACTCAGGCCCCTGCCCCGACGTGGGAGGACTGCATGGAGTCCCTGGTCCTGGCCCAGCCCCAGCCCCAGCCATTGTGGCCACGTGGGGAGGGAAACAGTGGATGGAAGATTCTCTCCCCCTCTAACTCTGCCTTTCAAATAAACAATAAATCTTTGAAAGAATTTTAAGAAAACGTTTATTTATTTGAAAGGCAATGGGTGGAGGTGGGCTGACGCGGAGCCAGGAGCCAGGAGCCTCTTCTCGGTCTCCCACGTAGGTGCAGGGCCCAAGCACTTGGGACATCCTCTGCTGCTTTGCCAGGCCATAGCAGAGAGCTGGATGGGAAGTGGAGCAGCCGGGTCTTGAACCAGCACCCAGGTGGGATGCTGACACTGCAGAGGCTTCACCTTCTACGCCAGGGTGCCAGCCCGTAGGGTGTTTTGAGTTTTGAGCAACAAGTTGTACCCTTGACACATCCACCTATCTGAGGATGGGCAGCTTGTATTCGGATGCCGGGTTCACCCAGTTTGAAAGTTGTCTCATCTCTGTTTGCTTCTCTATGCTATTTTTGTTTTCAATTATCCTATCCTGTAACTTTTGCCATACGGTAATGATCTTTTTTCTCCCTAATGACTTGCAGAGCAGAATTCTGCAAAGTGACCGCTTTTCTCTTTAGCATAAACTGCACGCGCGGTGCTCAAATGTCCAACCACCCCCAAGGGTGTGGAAGCGTCCCCGGCCGCCAGCGCTGAGGGCGTCTTCTCGACTGGGGTTCACTGGGGCGCCCCACAGGAGCTTCCGGAGGCCCGGCCGCTGCTGGGGGTGCCTCCCTCGAATGGCCTTCTGCAAGCAAACAGGTGGATCTCTCTCCAGTTCTCCCCACCTTCACTCCTGTTGGGAGTCCCGTCAGGCAGCGGGACGGCTGGGTGCCGGCTCAGTGACTCGGCGGCCGGGGGTGGCCGGGAGGAGGGCTCTGACTTCTGCTCTGCTAGTAAAGGCCTCAGGAATACCCGGCGAACACCTCCAGCCGCTCTCACTGCCGCGACCAAAGGGACTCCAGGCGGCAGAGACCCCGAGCCTCTGTTACCTTCCACCGCCAACCCCGCCCTCGCTGCACACCTGGAGTGCCGGTGCCAGGCTCCCCTCGGCTTCCTCTTCAAGAGGTGTCAGCTGTCACCGTGCTGCCCGGGGCCTCTGCAGGGCACCAGGCGTCACCGTGCTGCCCGGGGCCTCTGCAGGGCACCAGCTCTCCAGCTTTTCGCTCGTGCACGCTGCCCTCCTCTGGGTGGGCTTTCCTGAGACCCCAGGCCTTATCAAGTCGGGGGGCTTCTCTTCCATCACTCTCACGTCTGGGAACCAGCCGTGAGTGGTGGCCCACCGCGGTCCCTTCAAGGGCAGCTCTCCCCCACCTCGCCTCCAACACCCGCACTTCCCGACATGGCTCAGGGTTGCCGCTAACGGCAGTGATGGGTTAGTGGGAACTGAAAGATGGACTGACGGTGGTACGCCTTTTCCACACTCCTCCTGCTCCACCCGCAATGTGGACCGGCTGTCTGCGACCACCACTGGGCAGGCGGAAAGCAGCACTGCCCAAGAACCAGTGGGTTTAAGCACAGGGGAGGCCCAAGGAGAGCTGCAGAGGCCCGTCTGCCGCAGCCCAGTGCAGCACTGCGCGAGGTCAGCCCAGAGCAGCCCGGCCCCTGCACGGCCTGATCGCGGACGCAGCTCCAGCCTTACCCCCATTCTCACAAAGTGCCCACTGCTGGCGGCAACACCTTGGGCATGAGGTGTGAGCCCCTCAACCAGAGAGACGAGATGCGCAGAACTGTGTAGGTTTTATTTTAACGTCCAGGGTTTGGAACATGAGGGCCAGGGCTGCCCCGCGCGGTTCTACAGGTTCTCGATGGGCTGGTGAGGCCAGTAGGGATACTTCTTCTTGTCCAGTTTGGTTTCTGGGAAGGCTTCATTCAGGTCCTCAATGGTCATCTGGTCAAAGGGAATTATGTTCCTCATCTTCTCCAGCTGCACAGGGAAAGAGGGCCAGAGACCGCTCACCATCTGCCGCCAGGTCAGACACCAGATGCCACAGGCACAGCCGTGGTCCCTCTTACCTGTTTCTCATATGCCTCAATCCTGGCCTTGGAGAGAGACACGAACTCAGCACAGCTTTTGACCTTCAAGAGGACAGAGAAATTCTGTGAAACAGCCTGACCCCGGCTCCCGAGGCCCAGAGTCCAGCGCCGGCGGCTCTTACCCTCCTGCTGCTCTGACCACAGCTTTCCCTAACACCCACAAGGCATCCCGTGCAGGGACACCTGCTTCCACGGCAGGGCCAGGCTTCTCCAGCGAGGTCCTAGTCCGGGCAACCTATGAAACGCCCGTGTCACGGGTCCCGGTCTCCGGCCGCCCAGCCACACTCTCCCTGGTCCAGCCATCTGGTGCTTCGGAGCTAAGTTAGCACCTGACCACGACTGAATGTTTCTACCCGATTCCAACTCTCTCTTCTAGCAGCTCTGCTGAGGTACGGTGGCCACACCCTAGGAAGCACGTATTCAAGGCGAGCCACTCGACACACTGCAAGTGTTCACCGCACACTCAAAACAGGGAGCACCCACCGCCCCTCCCGAGGCAGCCGTGAGCTTTCTCTGGGGCTTTACAGAGGTGGACTCATGGGCCTGTACTTGATTTTCTTGCCCACTTCTTTCGCTCCGCGTATTCTGACATCCACCTGTCCCTTTTTATGGCTGTGGTGTCGCCATCTTCAATGTCATTACTTCCACCTGACCCCAGCCACGAAGCCGCACAGAGCGATCAGAATCCGGGTCAACCAGGCGGCCGCTACTTACATCTTCTTTTTCCTCAGCATCCACCAGGGCCGTGTACTTGTCCTCGGGCACAGGGACCTTCAGCGCGTTGAACTGCAAACACAGGGAGCGCGCGCTGTCACCACATACGCAGAACGACGAAAGGGCTCAGCGCTGCTGCACCCCCGAGATCAGTCTCCGCCCCACGAGGAAGCCAGGCTGCACCCCGACAGTCGTGGTGGGAGGACGTGAACGGAGCACGCTGGGGCCCTGGGCGACTCGTGATGAGAGGGTCCGGAGCCCATCTGAACTGGACAGGGGCCTGGCGGTCAGGAAGCCTCCTAGCACCCTGCACTTTTTAAAAACTTTTTTTTTTTTTTTTTTGAAAAGCAGAGAGACAGACACAGACAGAGAGGTCTGTGAACACTGATTCGATCCTCCAGTGCTTGCTTCAGCTAAGGCTGGGTCAGGCCAAAGCAGGAACTCAATCTGGTCTCCCACACGGGTGGCGGGGACCCCGGTACTGAAGCGTCAGCTGCCTCCCAGGCTGTGCACCAGCAGGAAGCTGAGACTGGAAGTGGAGTTGGGACTCAAACCCAGGCCTCCAGTGGGGAACACAGGCTTCTCAGCCACTGTGCCAAGTGCCCACCCCAGCAACCTTTTATTCTTTTTTAAAGATTTATTTGAAAGGCAGAGTTGGGGGCCAGCGCCGTGGCTCACTTGGTTAATCCTCTGCCTGCAGCGCCGGCATCCCATATGGGCACCGGGTTCTGTCCCAGTTGCCCCTCTTCCAGGCCAGCTCTCTGCTGTGGCCCGGGAGTGCAGTGGAGGATGGCCCAAGTGCTTGGGCCCTGCACCTGCATGGGAGACCAGGAGAAGCACCTGGCTCCTGGCTTCAGATGGGTGCAGTGTGCTGGCTGTAGCGGCCATTTGGGGGGTGAACCAACGGAAGGAAGATCTTTCTCTCTGTCTCTCTCTCTCACTAATTCTACCTGTCAAATAAAGAAAAAGAAAGAAAGAAAGGAAGGAAGGAAGGAAGGAAGGCAGGCAGGCAGGAAGGCAGAGGGAGAGGGGGAGAGGGGGAGAGGGGGAGAGGGGGAGACGGGGAGAGAGAGGGAGGGAGGGAGGGAGGGAGGGAGGTGTTTTCCATTGGCTGGTTCACCACCCAAATGGCCACAATGGCTGAGGCTGCGCCGATCTGCAGCCAGGAGCCAGGAGCTTCTTCCAGGTCTCCCACGTGGGTGCAGGGGCCCAAGCACTTGGGTCATCTTCTACTGCTTTCCCAGGCCACAGCAGAGAGCTGGATCAGAAGTGGAGCAGCTGGGACTCAAACCCTGCCCAAATGGGATGCTGACCACGCCCTTTTGCATTCTAATGAAAATCTGATTTCTCATTTACATGCAACTTCACAGGACTGACTGCAGAGAGATGGTCGCCTTGGCAGACTGCTCTCTGTACAGCCCCAGCACTTAGGGCCGTGCCTGGCACAGAAAAGGCCCTCCACACACTTCTTCATTGGTACTGGGACTAAAGATGGGTAACAGGGACAGCCGTTGGGGCTGTGCTAGGAATGCGTGTGTTCCACCCTGGAGCGCCAACCCAAGTCCCAGCCCCTCCACTCCTGATCCAGCTTCCTTCTAAGGCACTTGGGAGGCAGCAGATGAGGGCGCACGAACTTGGGTCCCTGCCAACCACTTGGGGGACCTGCACGGACTTCCCGGCTTCTCTGGCTTCGGCCTGGCCAAGCCCAGCTGCTGGCGGGATTTGGGCACCAAACCAGTAGCCTAGAGCTCTTTCTCTGTCTCTCTTTTTTTAAAAAAGTCCAAGTACCTGGGGCCTGTGCTGCGGCGTAGCAGGTAAAGCCATCACCTGCAGTGCCGGCATCCCATATCGGCGCCAGTTCGGGCCCTGGCTGCTCCACTTCCCATCCAGCTCCTTTTGCTATGACTGGGAAAGCAGTGGAAGATGGCTCAAGTGCTCAGGCCCCTGCCCCCATGTGGGAGACCCGGAAGAAGCTCCTGGCTTCAGACTGGTGCAGCTCCAACCGTTGCAGACAACTGGGGAGTGAACCAGCGGATGGAAGACCTCTCTGTCTCTCTGTGTAACTCTTTCAAATAAATAAATAAATCTTAAAAATAAAAAATAAATAAAAAGCCCAAGTACCAAATGATCAATTACGGCTGTAAGGGACAGTGAAAAAACAGAAACAACCCGACGTCGCCCGCGCCAAGGCTGTGCCGGGCCTTCCCACCCACCGCAGGCCCAGTACGTTTCTAAGCACTGAGCCCCACCACCACCCTCCCCGCCTGTCATCTCCCACCTCCTGCTCCCCACCCACAAACCACTTCTCCAGATCAGTGCTCTGGTTGTCTGCAGCTCACCTTCTTCTCAAAGTCATCCACCAAGCCGGCCTTGGCCACGTTGGCCTTGTAGTAGGCCCAGTCGATAGCTGGGGGGTTCTCGGGGAGAGTGGCCAACCTGTTCACAGCAGAAAGCCAAAGTTACGACTGTTCCCCGAGCAGCAGAAAACCCACAGGGCGAGACCCTGTTCCTGACGGCGCCAGCCTCAGCAGGGTCATCGCGCAAATGCAAAAGCGCTGTTTTTATTTGGGAAACGCACGGGTTTCTTCTTTGTCGGGAAGGTATCAGAATTTCAGGGTCATCCCAAAACACCGAGCTGTGGCCAAGTACAGGGCTCCCTCTTAGAAACGTACTGACCTGGAGCTGAGGGTCTCGTTCCAGGACTTCAGGGAGTTGGCAATGGCTTTCTGGTTTCGGGGTATGATCTCCCCAAAAGCTACCCAGTCGATGGCTTTTAGAGCAAGTTTGCGCCCCGCCATCGTGGATCCTGGAAAATAAAACGGTCTGATCACAACAGCCTCTCGGAGAGAACCCTTGCAGGGAGGGCACCCCAGGGACAGGAGAGAATCCGGGGAGGGAGGGCACCGCAGTGACGTGCAAGTCCTCAAAGGAACAGATCCACATCCCATGAGTGCTGGGCGGGCATTAATCAGAGAGAGATCAGCTCCCCAAAGCCAGGGGGTCCGACTCGGCACACGCATACACGTTCTCTCCCGTGCGCCTGTCCCTTCCCCAGCCCCAACTCCCACTTCTGCCTAAAAGCCCGGCTCTCTACTTCTTGCCTCCAGGCATCTGGAAGTACTGCTACCATAGAAGTTCACACACTGCGTAACAGTTGAAGAGCTGGGGCCAGCACTGCGGCCTGGTAGGCTAAGCCTCTGTTTGCAGCACCGGCATCCCATATGGGCACCGGGTCAAGTCTCGGCTGCTCCACTTCCGATCCAGCTCCCTGCCAATGCACCTGGGAAAGCGGTGGAAGACGGCCCATGCATCCATGTGGGAGAACCGGAAGAAGCTCCAGGCTCCTGGTTTAGGCCTGGCCCAGCCTCAGCCATTGCATCATTGAGGAGTAAACCAAAGGATGGAAGATCTTTCTGTCTCCCCCCTCTCTCTGGAATTCTACTTTTAATTAGATAAATAATTTTTTTTTTTTTTTTTTTTGGACAGGCAAAGTTAGACAGTGAGAGAGACAGCGAAAAAGGTCTTCTTTCCATTGGTTAGGATAGGAATTGGATAGGAAGTAGAGCAGCCGGGACTAGAACTGGTGCCCATATGGGATGCCGGAGCCGCAGGCTGGGGCTTTAACCAGCTGCACCACAGCACTGGCCACTAGATAAATAATTTTTTTTAAAAGAGTCTAGGGGCCGGCCCTGTGACACAGTTGGTTGATCCTCCACCTGCAGTGCCAGCATCCCTTAGGGGCACCAGTTCGAGTCCCGGCTGCTCTACTTCCTATCCAGCTCTCTGCTATGTCCTGGGAAAGCAGTAGAAGGTGGCCCAAGTCCACGGGCCCCTGAACCGGTGTGGGAGACGGGAGGAAGCTCCTGGCTCCTGGCTTCGGATCGGTGCAGCTCCAGCCATTGTGCCCATCTGGGGAGTGAACCAACGGACGGAAGACCTTTCTCTCTGTCTCTCCCTCTCACTGTCTGTAACTCTGCCTCTCAAATAGATAAATAAAAAAAAATTTTTAAGCGTTTAATCTACTTCCACTCAGATCGTGTTTAATGATTCTCCAGTGCACAGAACCTGACACGTACGTTTCCACAAGGACTAAACAGCCGACTGTGGGCTGGAACTCCCCGACCTGTGAGCCGGGGACAATCAGCCCTGCTCACTTCAGGCTCTCAGAGGCATCGAGCGAAATCGCGCCGGTCAGCTGGCTCTGCAGTCTTACACAAACCTACGGGGCTCTCCACCCACCCCTCTCCTCCCCCCAGTACACCTGCAGCACCGGCGGTGCTACGCACTCGCAGTATGTATGCGAAAGCGGGAGAAAATGCTAAGTGAGTAACCTTTAAAATAAATAAATACACACACACACACACGGAGTCAAACAAGAGCAGGGTCGGATAGAAGACTGAAAGGTCAAAAAGCACTTTACAATCTATAGAGCGGATCACAAAGGGGGGGGGGTCTTCCTGGAGGTCTTAAATAAAAAGCTGTCAAACACCCGCCACCTCCGGCCTTTCCTACTTAACCCACCCGGAGCGGAAAGGAGGGATGACGGCCGCAGGGGGCTGACTTCTGAAGCCGCCAGACAACCAAGTACGCTCAGAGGCGCCCGGCGCGCCGGCGGAAAGCAGGAGCCACCGCTACGAGGCTGCCGTCCTCTCGTTCGACGCTTAGGCCCCAGCGCCTAGGACAGGTGCTCAGGGACACGCCCCATCGCGGAACGCCCCTCCAGGTAACACGGTGCCCGCGGGACAGCTCCCCGACTCCGAAGCCGGACGTCCGCGGCCGCCGCGCTGGACGCCGACAAGGAGACAGTCCGCCTCCGCGACCTCGCGCGAGGGAAAGGTGAAGAGGGAGCGCGCAGCCAAGATCGGCAGCCACACCCGGGGCTCTGCAAGCGGGCTCAGCCGAGGGCACGGCGTTCTCGGCTGGAGGCGCTGCTTGGACGCGACCAAGCAGAGGAACGCGCCCGAACGCCAGCCCTGCGCGCCCGAACCCCACTCACCTTCACCGACCCCGGCGACTCCCAGTCCGCGCAGCAAGAAACGGAAGTGGGACACCGGAAGGCCTCCCCTCAGCCAATAGCGAAGCCACAGGGGCGGGCCTTGATTCGCGTGTCAGCCAGTAGAATTGGAGGTTTTATCCAGGAAGTCCCGCCTCTCGGGGCCGGCGTAGCGCCTGCGCTTCACGGGCTCCCGGGCGCTGGTTGGGGGGCGCTCCCGTCCCCTCTCCCCCTGCCCCACCCCCGCCGATGGGCCGGCCCGGCTCTCCCTGCCGAGAAATGGGCCGGCCCGGCGGCGCGCGGGCAGCAGCGGCGGCGGCGGCAGCGGCCCAAGATGGCGGAGCTGCAGCTGGACCCGGCGATGGCGGGGCTGGGAGGGGGTGGCGGGAGTGGGGTGGGCGATGGAGGTGGACCGGGCCGCGGGCCCCCCAGCCCTCGCCCGGCTGGCCTCACGCCCCGCGGGCACGCCCGCTCGCCCGCCGCCGTCGCGCAGCCGCTGGAACCGGGTCCTGGACCCCCCGAGCGGGCGGGGGGCGGCGGCGCGGCCCGCTGGGTCCGGCTGAATGTAGGCGGCACCTACTTCGTGACCACCAGACAGACCCTAGGCCGGGAGCCCAAGTCGTTCCTCTGCCGCCTCTGCTGCCAGGAGGACCCGGAGCTGGACTCGGACAAGGTGCGCCCCGCCCTCGGGCGCGCCCCCGGGCCTTCGGAGCCCCTCTTCCTCCCAGGCTCGTCGGCCGAGTCTTGGGACACGCTCCCGACAGGCCAGGACCCCATTCCCCCGTGGCTCCCAAGGTAGCCCCCGGAACCTCCGAAGGATCGCCCCTGTGCACCGCGGTCCCCAGGCACACCCCGGCGCTGTCGGACCCCGCCCTTGGCTCTCTACACTGCGTGCACCTGCGCCTACTCCACGCCCCTTCCCCACCTTTTCTGCCCCCCTCACCCCAGCCGGTCCCTCGGCCCCCGTGAGCCCTGGCTCTTCTGCAGCCCCTCGCTGCCGGGGCCAGGTGCACTCTGAACCGGGTCAGGGCGAGCCGAGGAGGAGTCGTTGTGGCTCTCGGACTTCCCGCGGAAGCCCTTTGCCAAGTTGAATGAACGCTTGGGTCTGATGGTGTGGGAAGTGCTTCGTGTGGTACCGCACGGCTTTGCTGTGGTCCTGGTCCCAGAACTGGAAGCCTGTATCAATCGCTATTCTAGGTGCAGCCCCAAAATCCAATGCATTCCTTGGAAAGAGGCTACCGTTTGGCGGTATTGGGGCGAATCTAGGCTGCCGGGTTCAGATGAGGAGTGCTGTTGGCCAGGGTGCGTGACTGTTAACCAGAGGGTTGAGAGGTGGCGAGACACTGCACCCGCCACCGGGTTAACTGTAGTTTGCATTTGTTTTCAGCTTGACCATGGCTCCCACCACCCCGTTGGACCCCTGTGGCACTCGGGGGCTTACTTTGCTGCCTTAGTCTCTTCCTCCCTCTCCCCTAATCTTGGATGGACGGAAGCCCCATCTTTCCCTAACTTGGCAGAAAGGAGATCCCAGAGCCCTTGCTTATGTAGGAATTATTTATATCTGCCGTCATCTCGCGGCGGGAGAAGCCTCTTACTGGAAAGAGGAGTAGGGTTGGAGCCGCGCAGAGCCAAGTCCCGGCTGTTCCAAGCCTCCTCTGGGCGCAGAGCCGCCGTGTGTGTGTGTGTGTGTGTGTGTGTGTGTGTGTGTGTGGCAGCGGCCGGCAGAGCGGGCTCCCGCTGACTGTGGTCCTGAGCTGAAGTGTCTTGCTGGCTAAACAGGTTTTCTTAGGAAGCTGGAATGTCCATCCCGAGCCCAGGTTTAAACCGCACGGCGGTGGCGTGCGCTCCTTCCCTTTCTGAATCACGCTGGTACTGGTCCAAGCAAAGGTTTTGTACCAGCGCACCTGTAACTCGCTGTCTGGAGCGGTGTTGAGCTCCGGGATGCCTGGTCGGTCCGCTCGCTTGCCGACAGTTTGCGCTGAGCAAAGATCCAGGCGGAACCTGCCCTCGTGAAAACGTTGGCTACTGGGGAAACCCTCTCGGTGCAGCGCCGCTCCGGCCGCCCCCAGTGACGCCTTGTGTTCGGTTGGCAGGACGAGACGGGGGCCTACCTGATCGACAGAGACCCCACCTACTTCGGTCCCATCCTCAACTACCTCCGCCACGGGAAGCTCATCATCACCAAGGAGCTGGCAGAAGAAGGTAAGAGCCCGCCTGCGGGAACTGCAGGACCCAGCTGTTCCCCTCGCCCAGAGAGCGGGGTTTCTTTGGGATTTGCGTGGCGCTGCGTGGCGGGGGCAGCTGGTTTACGCACGGGAGCCTGAGTCTTGGCTGAGAGAGCCCGCCAGCCTCCCTGCAGCCTTTTTTCCCGCTCCTGGATGTCCACAGCCTGGAGCAGCGCGTCTCTTGACACCGAGTTATTTATATTTTCAATTTTACTTTGAACTCACAGCTATAAAAAAATAATAAAAGCTTGGCCTCATTTCTTTAAGACTCTGGTCTCATGCCTCCCCGTGTATTTCTGCAGCTGACCTAATTCATTCTCGGGCTCCGTGCAGGCGTATCATTGGCTGCCTCATCCATCTACCCCGTGGGGTGCTTGGACAGGAAGTGGGTCCAGGTGGTGTGGTCCTGCCGAGGGCATTCAGCTGATCCCGGGCACCCTGGTCTGGGAACGTTAGCTCTGAGTTAGAAAACTTGTCGTAGTCGTGCTGGTTAACAAATAGTGACTACAGAACAGCTCGTTCAGCCAGTAAAAGGAAGAATTGCCCTCTGTTTTTATGCCATTTTTGGGGCCAGTGCTGTGGTGTAGTGGGTTAAGTCGTGGCCTGCAGTGCTGGCATCCCGTAAGGATGGGTGCTGGTTTGAGTTCCAGCTGCTCCACTTCGATCCAACTCCCTGCTAATGCCCCTGGAAAAGCAGCAGAAGGTGGCCCAAGTCCTAGGACCCCTGCCCCCCATGTGGGAGACCCAGAAGAAGCTCCTGGCTCCTGGCTTCAGCCTGGCACAGCCCTGGCTGTTGCAACCACTTGGAGGTATATCAGCAGATGGAAGATCTCTCTGTAACTCTGTCTTTCAAATAAATAAATCTTTAAGAATAAGTAAATAAATAATGAAATGTGCTCCTTCCTTTATTTGTTAAATTAACCTGTGTGAGAGGCGGAGACAAAAAACTTGCATCTGCTGGCGCACTCCCCAGACACCCTCAACAGTTAGGTCTGGGCCAGGCTGAAGCCCGGAGCTGGGAGCTCAGTGACAGGAACCCAAGGTCTACACTGGCAGGAGGCTACAGTCAGGAGTCGGAGGCGGACACCGAATCCAGGGACCCCGGCATGGGATGCAGGTGTCTTAGCCTCGTAATTGCTAGGCCAAACACCCACCCCAGATGTCATTTTTTGAAGAAACATTTCGAGCACGTACAGTGCCGCCGGGAGCAGCGCAGCGCCTGACTCACGGCTCCTCCTGGTGCCTTTAATTTGGGAAAAAAAAAAAAAAAAACACTTTTATTTTGAAATAATTTCAAACTTCAGAGAGCAAGAATAATACCAAAAGCTCCCTCTATCCACATGCACTCATTTTTTACTTTTTAAAATTTGTGTTCTCCCCCTCCCCTCCCCCTCCCCCTCCCCCTCCCTCCCCCTCCTCTCCCCTCCCTCTCCCCTCTTCTTCTCCCTCCCCCTCCCCTCCCCCTCCCCCTCCTCTCCCTCCCCCTCCCCCTCCCCTCCCCCTCCCCTCCCCCTCCCCTTCCTGTTTATCTCTCCCTCCTTGTGCTGTCTCTCCTCCCTCTGCCCACCACAGTCCCTGCTGTGGAACCGTCTGAGACTGTGGCAGGCCGCGTCTCTCAGGGTTCCGTGTACGTTTCCCAAGAACAAGGGGGGGCTCACACAGCCACAGTACGGTCACCAAACTCAGGAAACTTAATCCCGGTAAATGCTTTTATCTGCGGCTAGTAACGGCCTGCGCGCACCCTTCTCTCCTGCTGCGGGGTCTCCCGGGCCATCGTTGTCCTGTCGGAGTCCGGCTTTGTTTGGCAGGGGAGCCTTGCAGTGTTTGCCTCTGATGGTGTTCAGACCGTGGCATCCTGTGAATCTGACACGGCCGGTTCTCTCTAGGGGCAGCTGGATAAAAAGTGCGAGCTCAAGCCGGCGCAGCCCAGCCGGTTCCAGGCCCCGAGTGTCGTGGGGACGGTGTCCGCCAGCGCACGGGCGGGGCCAGGCAGGAAGCAGGAGGGCCGGGTTTGTGTTTGAAGGTGCAGCCTCCCCTCGCGCGCCCACACACCCCTGACTACAGTCTGGTCCTCGCTGCAGGCGTGCTGGAAGAAGCGGAGTTCTACAACATCGCGTCGCTCGTGCGCCTGGTTAAGGAGAGGATACGGGACAACGAGAACAGAACTTCACAAGTAAGCTGTGCTGGGTGGCTCCGCGGCTCCGGTGCGCATGCGTGTGGCCGGGCCCGACCGGAGAGGATGCTTTGCCCTGTAGAGCCCACGTCGGCACGGAGCACGGTCCCTCTGCCGTGCAGATGGCGCCGCCCCAGCCAGGCTTGTTCCGAACAAGGAGACGGGGAGGAAGAAACAGCCGAGGGCGGCAGCCCCGTGTTCCTTCAGGACGAGGAGCAGGGAGTGCCGTCCCCGGCCTGCGCTCTCTGGCAGAACCTCCCCCCTCCGCCCACAGCCCGCAGCAGGCCACTTCTCCGTGCTGGCCCCTCTTCGTAGGGACAGCCTTCACGGGGGTCCCTGCCCTCCTGAACAGTCTCCTGGGTAGACTGGAAATCTGCGTGTGAATCATGCTTCCGGGAAAACGATCCCAAGCCTCTCTCTGTATTGTGGTGTCTAGCTTTTTATGTGAATTCAGAAAAAGACAAATGAAGCAGAATGTGCCCCCTGGTTGGAGCGAAGGAAGGACAACAGGGCTGACTGGCTGCTTCACACTGCGGCATTCACCAGATGTTTGGCCGCAGCAGCTC